ATATAGTTTGTATCCCATGCAGATGAAGTTTTTGTTGGATAACGTGTCTTTATGTTGTTACTCATGTTTATAGTGCTTGGACTTCTAGCAAGATGAGCATATTTGGGTGGCTTGCGCTTAAAAATAAGTACCAAATGCGTGGCTTGTTTTTAGTGTGGTCCTACCTAAATTCAAATAAGCCACAGATTTGGTGCTTATTTTTAAGCCTAAGCCACCTCAAACATGCTCTAAATGCAGTTTTGATAGTTTCCCTGTTATATAAACAAGCTTCTTGTCTTGATTAAGATTTATTGAAATGCTGGTTTGTTTTCTTCTGTAGTTTTGATTTTTAGACTACTATTTTTCTTTGCAGAGTTTTATCGCAGGCATTGGCAATTGGATGGCTGATGAAGTACTATATCAAGTGAATATGCTTAACTCTTCCCATCCTCTATTTCCTTCACTAGAGAAATATGATTATTATCAATCAATGTAAAATTCATCGGGACTGACTGACTAGTTGTTGATTTTATTTATCCCATAAGTCTATGGATCATTAACAAGTAACAAAGTGGACCTAAGAGTCCAAGTATCGATCTCACGAGGAATAAGTATTTAGTCTAGTTTTCAATTAACTTACTCTAATCGAATATACACACAATCATTAGATGAGATGGATAGTTTATATTAACAACCTAAATTATCTAACCTAACTAATCTTACTAAGTGGTAGAAAGCAATTGTGAAGCTTAATTAATCGAACAAACACTTGAACCCCGTATTCCCCTACATTCTTCCATCTCAATATCAATTTCATAATTTGATAACACTTATTTAATTATGAAGATCAATGTTCCTCTCATATCAAATAATCTATTTCGAGCAGAATTAAATATGTTCTCACATATGAGCCGATAATATACCCATCTTGAATGCGAACATATAAAGATATATTAAATCAAAAGAACGTCTATTTAGATCATGCAAAGCATAGATAATTAAACCTAACGTGTACAGGACCTTACAATGATTGCTACTTGTGATGAATTCTTATTCCTTTTCCCAAACATCAATAGAAATCCTACATTAATTTAATTAGCAGCTAATAATATGAAAAGTATTAAACTTTATCAATAATTCAAACCAAACCAACAGCTAGTGTCAAAATATAGAATTTAATATAAAGACTTCAAAATATAGGGTTTAACATTGTCTTAGCATCTATACAACTAGTCAGAATCATTATAATACAATAACACCAATTAAAGGGGGGACAACATCACCTGAAATTGGAGTGTAGGTAGAAAGATGGAAAATAGTCTTTAGTCTGGAATTCCTTCAATGGTTCTTGATTTCTCTCCTTATCTTCTTCTTCAAACCCAAACAATAATGTATAAAAAGATATGGCTTTGGTGAATTGCAACAAAAGCTTCTTCAAAGCTTTGTAAAGAATGTGGATTTGTTGACCTCCAATGACTCTTTTCTTTGTAATGATTGTGTATTTTTATGTACTAGAGCATCCAAGCTTCCTCCCTCTTTGAATGATAGATGAAGGGTTGTATTTATAGGATAAGAATTAGGTTGAATTTCATGCCATAATTACTTTCCAAGAGGTGGTTGGATCAGACGGGAAACAAAATAATTTCTATCCCCTATAACCATGCTATCGCATGGTTATAAACTAAAACATTCCAGTCATTGATATTAACTCCTCGCTATTGCATGGTTATAAGCTTTGGATTGCAAGATTTTATTTTTCCTCTTCCATATTCATTAAGTTGGTCTCCGGTTCATTACTTTTTGTGCGACCTTGGTCATTTCTTCAAGTTTTCGTCCAACTTTGATCCTTTTTCATCCTAAATTTCAGCTTTGATGCTGAAACTTTCAACATCTTCAAGATTGCTCTAGAAACTTCATAATAATACAAATTTGGTTCGTCTCATGTTTCGAAAGTTCACAATTTAGTCTCCAAAATTTTTATAAGTTGAATTTAACTCCTGAAACTTGTGAATCACCTCTGATTGCTCCATTAATGCTTCTAATTGATCAAATGCAGTCCGGTTGATCATCAATTTCTCCGAACCAACTCCAAGTTAGCTCTAAAAATGCCATTTTTCAGGCAAATTGCATCCAAATGCACCCAAGTCGAGCTTTTACTTACAATTAACCTAATTTAACCTAAATTAGGTAGATATCTGCTCAATTAGCAATAAATATTCAAGTATAGAAGTCCAAGTGTATAAAATGCACTTATCACTAGTTACCAAATTTTTCTATTATGGTTAGAAACTGTGGGACTATTCGTTCCAAACAAATATAGGACTATGCTCATAACACAGGCAAATATGCCCGAGTTTCCTATTTTGCTCGTATCCAATTCTATCTTTAATTATCTAGTATGTCATAGTGTGACCTAAAAAAGTTATACAGTCCAACTTTATTGAACTGTCTGTGGTTTAACAGGCAAGGATCCATCCTCTGCAAACTGCTTCCAGTATGTCCAAAGAAAGCTGTGCAACATTGCTCAAGTGCATTAATGAGGTGGGTAATTATGTTTTAATATGAATTACTGGCTTCATTCATCTCGTCTTTAATGAAGCATACATTCCATATGGCTATTACTAGAGGTCGTACTTTTAGGTCACAAAGTTTGCAGTTAAAGTTGATGCTGACAGCAGCCGCTTCCCTGTTGAATGGATGTTTCATTTTCGGTGGGGCAAAAGGCCTGGAAAAGTTAATGGTAAGATATTTTTGACACACATGGTCATTTTGACATTAATCGTTTTCTTACAGGTAATTGAACAGGCCATTGAAGTTGGGGCAGATAGTAGTCAGTTCCCCAGTAATTGGATTTTCCATTCCCGGGAAAAGAAACCTGGAAAGGCTTTTGTTGATGGTTTGGTTCCTGACCTTCACGATATTCTTTCATGTGCTCCGATAATGCTTATTTTCTCCACTGAACTTGGATGATTATACCAAACACACGAGCTATCATATCTTGAAACCCCACCAATATTTCCTAGCTGAATATTTATATGTTATTTCTTTTATTGAATCTTGCTTTTCGGTAATTTGCCTCTTTCATTTCATAGGGCTCGGTCATTGTCATCCATACTTCCTGTTCTGGTTTCAAATTAAGTGATTATACATAAGAAAATTCGTAAATTCACTAAATTTATCGTGCAGTGGAAGTTGGAATATTAAACGAAGCGCATGCTTGTTTTAGTATTTTACGGAGGAAGAAATAAAAAATAGAAGTCTTGTTTTTGCAGTTGTAACGAGTTGTGTTCTCCAAATTTAAAAGTTTTCAGCTGCTCTTTATTAAATTCTCACAAACATATTTCATGTCAGGGAAGAAGATTGAATTTATCAATGCTGGTGGCAGAGTACGTCTCTCTTTAACCTGCAATGTTCTATGATGTATTCACTATTGTAGTAGTATATGTGAAGGTGTTTGTTTTTTTTCTATTTCAGACATCGGCCTATGTACCAGAGTTGCAAAAGCTGAGTGGTAATCAAGCTAGGAAAGCAGCGGGTGAATCATCCAACAGCATTGAAGAATCGGGAAATGAGGAAGCGACTGATTCTAGGAAATCAAAAGTCCCAAGAGGAAGAAAGGCTACGGTTAGGAAACTTTCCTCGAAGAGGAAGTCCAAGGAAAGTGATGATGAAAGCAACAATGATGAAGATGATGATAAAAATTTAAACAAAACTGGAAGCGGTAAGAACCCCCCTCTAAGAAGCAAATCGAAGGGAAGGAAGGAAAATGACGACCCGAAGAAGAAATCCAAAGGAAAGAAGACTCCGTTAAGGAGAAAGCCTGAGGAAAGCGACGATGAGGATGACGTAGATAATGCTAGTGGGAGTGCTGATGACGATGAAGAGGATCACAAGGTGATGGACAAGAAACGAGGAAAGGCAGGGACGCAATCAAAGGGTAAGGTTGGATCGGGTCAAAATGGGAGGCAGCGGAAGAAAGTGGCAAAATAATTTCGACTGCCGATTATTACATTGCAATTTCGTTCTCTTTCGTGTTTTGGAAGAATGGAAAGAAGTTTAGGTAAGTATCAGGCACTAGCAGTACCTGCAATTCGCCGCTTTTCTATGAATTTAGAGAGTAACTTAATCCTCCTTTAAGTATTATGTGGATGTTTTTGTAGTACTTTTTGCCCAAAACTTTGCATAATTTCTCGTCTGTGCACGTTGAATGTTATGTTTGTGGTATCTATCAGGATTAGAACTACGAAGAATACAAATATTTAGATGAAATAATTCAAAACGATATATGAGTTCTAGTCTCGTTGCTACCGTTTGAATGAAATTGTACACCGTTATGCTTTAATGAGAAAATCGAACCCCTAAGGCTGGATTATTAACATGTTTGGCTGAACTTATAAGGTGCTTAAAAAAAATTATTATTTTCGACTAATGCAAAACCTCAAACAGTTATTTAGAAAGGATATATAACTCGTACTCTTGGTGTATCAATTTTGATAACAATGATTTTTGCCCGCCTCAAACAATTTTTACACCCCCCGCGTATATTTCGTAAAATCCCACAATTTTCGATAACTTAAAAATAATATTTTGATAATCATAGTCGGATTGAAATATACTTGATAAATTTTACTTGTTCATATTTATATTTGTACCACACCACTTTGTTTTCATTAATCTCTTACGAAGGATATTCAGGCTCGTGCACGCTAAAAAAACACCTTTTTTTAAAAAGATAATAAAATTTTAATAATTATGTTTGTGTCTCTCAAATAACAAATCTGACAGTTCAACATGATATTAGCGAACAAACGAACGATCACGTTTCACGTACTAGAATGATTCAAAACCAGTTTCCTCGGTCAAGTAAAATTTCATTTATCCTTTGAAAAATGTCAATTCCTTTGTGCCTTTTCTGAATTATAATGATAACGTACACAAACAATTGTACTCAAAGCTCAGAATCTACCTTCAAAAAGATTAGCCTTTGAGCTGATCATCAATGTATATATCCATTTTTTGCATCAGAAAAAATATCTCAAGGCGTCCACTACTTTCTCCGGCCTGTAAAGTTAAAATGATAATAAGTAGTACAAAAAATAACTGCAATTATACATCAATAGTTTTTGGGAGTTATATTACCAGTCCTCCTGAGGCATATGACCAGCGCCTTCAATCAGCTTGAGCTTTACAAAGTCGGGATTCCCTTTTTGAAATTCTTCTGCCACGGATTGGGGAAGATACTTGTCTGATATTCCCCATGCAACTAATATTGGTTTATCCCAGCTGAAGCCAGTTGAACAAGTTTCCATCGTTGAGGAACAGAAAATCACGGCATTAGAGGCATTTAAAGACTAATGTAAATGGAACGAACTGATGTCATTCAGCTAAACGTTACTGTTATAATCACTAAGGTAAAATGGTAAACGTGGTTAAGATCACTAGTATCATGAAATGCAGATCCCACTACCTTTTAAGAACACATGGCTAAGCTTAAATAAGTAGTACTTATTAAGTAAATTATTGTTTCCAAACACGTCTGGATAAGTTACTTTTTTTCTCACTTCTAAGAAAGTTTCTCATTTCCAACTTTGACCAATAAAACAAGTTAGTTATCTTAAAACTCACTTATTTACTTAGAAGTGAACTTCTTAAGCTTAGCCAAACTTATCTACAAACTTGGAATTTTAGGGCAGAGTAGATTATATGCAAGCCTGTGACTTGTCCTATGCAATTACTAGTATCTATACGAATTTTCTATCAACTTTATTTTCCGTGGTCTGGTTTCATTTGACATTCCATGGCGAATTCACTGACGTCGCAAGTCTAAGCTGGTTTCTATTCATACAAAGACTTTAAGATACCAATCCTTGATCATTCTCAGCAATCTTGCACGAGAAAAATATAGATAAATGCAAATTTAAGACAACTAGAACGACTAATTGGTTGCCTTTCCTAAATAAAAGAAAACAAGAGCAGCTATAAAGACAAGGAAAAAAGTGACAAAATACTTGATTGATACAGTCAGTTGTTGCTATATCCATATGGCAATTTTCTTAGCTCTGCTCACAATTAACTTTCCACGAAAAATACTCACAATGTCAAGTTACTTGAATTCCTCAAAGAAACCTATGCTGTTGTAGTTCTTCTAACTAGTCTAATCAAAATCTTCAATCCTTCCAACTATTCAGGGTCCAAATCAACCACAAAAGGCAGAAACAGAAAACTTTGGCTAGTGTACCATTCATTTAACCAAATTTCTATCTGAGATTTCTTTAAATACAATTTTCCTTTTCATACAAAGTAAATTAGAGTCAGGTGTCATTAGTGTCACCTAAGCAAGCCTCTATATACCCATAGAATTCATCAGTGTAATGATATCAAATACCTCTGCTATATCCACTCTGGCATTAACATAAATGCGTACAAATTAACAGTAGATTCTACAATGGCATGGTTACTTATAATACAGTACCTTCCAGATGCAAACCCAGCTGAGATTTGACTTTTAATATCATTGAAGTTAGCTTTTTTTGTAGCCTCAAGCAAAGCTGAAACACCAACAAAGCATCAGTTATGTTGTTATTTATCGATGCAGGTATAAAATGGAGTGCAGTTATCTTTTGAACCAACTGTTGATCCGGTATAATTAAGAAAAGCCACTGCCCTGAAAGAAGCGACACGTCAATAATCAACCCTAAGGTTTTACCTACTTCTTTGAATCAAATGTAATCATTTCCGTGTCAATAGACTATCTGACTGAGTATTACTTTCAGACACCTGTAGTTGTTATCAGTCTAGAACTGGTGATCATTCAAGTTCAGTTGATTAACTTGGTCAATTATGAGCACAGGGTTAAAAAGAGGAGCTAGGAAAATCAAAATTCTCCAATTGCATGAAAGAAACCATTTTATATATTAAAAAAAAAAAAACACCAATTGCACGAAAAGAACCATTTATAAACAATAATCAAACTTCAAAACCTGAAAGCAGAACCTTGATATAAACCTATAGTCATAGAGCATTCTTTACTACCATACCCACTAGACTTTTTCTCATGACTTCTTCACTATGTACATTTTCAATAATATTGTATTGAGTCTATTGACATATCTTAGATACACTTTGTCTCTCTTGTCATCCTATTATATGTTCTTTTCAATATCAATAAAAATCATAAGCAAATCTTGTTTCATTTCTATATACTTGTTGATCAATTTTTGAGGTAGGTGCATGACTTCCATAGTAGATATGCTTGGCAAAAAACAAAACTGATTATTTATTAACTTCGACTTACATCTTAATATATACTCAATAACCCTCTTCCATAATGTCATGGTATGATTCATGAGCTTAATAGCTACATACTTTGTGGAGTTACAACGTTATAATGATATTCTCAAAATTTTAACTATACAAATTTGTTGCAGTGAAATCTCTCATCTATTTCCGTTAACATATTTTAATAAAAATTAAAAATTACAGCATAACTGATAATTTATCTAATGCACATAGGATTACAGGCATTGTTGACGGCGTCACTAATTATCATAGAACTATGATGCTCGGACTCTTCGAAATAGTTGGAGTACCCGTGTTGGATATGACACGACATGGGTATGGGTATGGAATATGTGTCGGATCCTCCAAGTTTCAATCGAACACTTCATCTTTTTCTTCTTTCTTCCTTCTTTTTATTCTTTCTATTTTTTTTCTTTTACTTTTCTTTCCCTTTTCTTCTTTCCCACTTTTGCTCTCTATAAACCTAGCGTCGTCGCCGAGAGGGTGAAGAAAGACGGCGAAACTATGTTTTCCCTTCTTTTTCAGTTTCTTTCTTTTTGCTTTCCATTTTCTCCCATTTTTTGTCCTTCTTTCTCTCTCTATATCGGTGGTTTAGTACTTCACTAAGTCCAAATTACAATCAAGTTTCTCATTTTCTATTTTATATAACATGTAGTAATTTTCATTATTGAAAACTAAACCCCAAAATTCTATTTTATGTGTCTTAACCCCTATTATTTTATTCGTCTTAACTCTTTATTAAATATCAATTTCCTTCATTGTGAATAAGTAGTTTTGGTCTAGTCAAAATGACATCCTGGATTAGTAAAAAAAATTGAAATTTGAAAGATGTACCCACGTATCCATATCCGAAATTTGGACTCTTTTTAGCCATATCCCCGTATCCTATATTTTAGAAAATAAAAGACCGACATTTAGATACATACCCGTATCCTATACTCATACCCGAGTCCGAGCATCATAGTCATAGAATCAATAGCTACCACCATTTTGTCTCTCCATGATCACAAATAGGCAATGACCAATAAAGTAGCAACAAACTTGCACTTCTATCACAATCCCAACAGAAGAAAATTAGATATCAAACAAGTAAATAATTTCTAGAATTATGGATTTAAATCTGTTCTGTTAACAATATCATGTAATTGGGACTACTATTTATTCTGTTGCAAACTTAATGCTAATATGAGGAAATTGTGATCTTGTACAAAGGTTTTGTAGGAATATATGCATTTCTAAGTTCTCTTTTTTCAGTTATGAAGTTAGAAATCTGTGTTAAGCTCTTTCCACCAACAGTTGATAATATGCGTAAAACTAGGACTTACTGCATAGATCATGTATGTAATGAAAATTGGAATTATATAAACACTAAACAATATTATCTGAAAAAAAAAAAAAAAAAATCAATCATCATTCCAAGATCAGATTGGAAGACAAACCAAATCCTGGGCCACTGCTTGACAAATATGGTAATCGATATACATCTGCCTTTTCCAGCTTCAGGACATAGCTGTCATGAAACAAGTAGTTTTGTCAGAGAACAAACTGAAAATAAATGAAAATTTCCAATTGAAAATGACTAACTAATTATAATGAACACTGATTTTCCTTGGATATGTTTATGAACAGAAGAAATATTGGTAACTATCAATGCTTATCATGTTAAGGCTGGAATGAGTAAATTAGCTTCAGATGCATGGAAACATTTGATTTAAAGCTAGTCACAGTGAAATTTATTTTGAAAAATGATACTAAGCAAATATTTGGCAACAATTTAGAAAAAATTATGCTGCTCCCTTGTCCCTGTTGAACTTTCACTGCCCAAAGAAATAGAGAAGAAGGAAATCCAGGTAACTTTAATAATTGAAAGTAGTGGGCTTTTGAAGCATATAGTGCATTTCTTGATACATACGGGCTACCTGCTTCAATAAAACGCTCTGCCATAACTGCATTCTGGCAAGTGAATTCACCAAGAAACGGAATCCTGGATGTAAACAGAGGGAAGATAAAAGAAAAAGTTAGTAAATTACAATTCTCTGTTGCTTAGTATTTTCGGTTGTCTCCAAGGGGTATTCTGGACTTGAAGGTTGGTCTTTTTCTTTGTTTGAGTTTATACAAGAGTATGGTATAAGCACTAGAGAAGAAGGTAATATTCTTCCTCTCCTTCACTTTCATTATATAGAGAAATCAAGAGTACACTCATGGAAATAGATACAAATATGGAAACAAAATAACCTAAATTATACTCTCCCGTAATCTATGTTATTCTAATATATTTATTATCTTAACATTCTTGATACTAAATAAACTGATTATTGACTTGCTAACATTCCTAAATGAAGAAGAAAATGGAAGGCCTGTCTCCAGATATATATACTTACCATTTCTAGTTCCACTTTTATGAATTTGCAGTTTTATACCCTTTAATATCTGCTTAAACTATGTCCATCGTAATTCTTGTATCTTACAAGAAAACATAATGTTATTCCAATTACCGAGGAAACTAATTCTCCAATAGCAAATTCACAGGTTCAGTTATTTAAATTACAATCTTATAATCTATTTTTATCTCTTAATTAGAACCTTATCCAGTAATATTTCTCTTTAGAGATGTTTTTAAGTAAATAGTAATGACACTGGCAGAAAATAGTTGAGGTCAAGTTCATAAATTATATATTTAGAGGAGCAGGAGAGAATTCTCTCTTTGCAATGTTGTGTGGTGCCTTGTAAAGAATTTAACTACTAAAACTTTTTCCTAAATATTAAAAATGTTCCAATTTAGTTTGAGAATATAAAATAGGCACGCTTAACAACTTGAAATTCATTATATCAGGAAGTAGTTAACTGAGAGTGATCACTCAAGCAATAACTACAGGCAATTTTTTAATTGGTGTGAAATAAAACAAACCTGAGATTATTAAATAGTCCAGGAATGGGAGATGAGACTGTCAATTGGGTGTTCATAATTCCAAGCTTTGAAATTCTGCTCGGGTTTTTCAAAGCCCAAGTTAATCCATATGATCCTACAAGAAATCCCTACAAAATGAAAAATGGAAAAATGAAATGCTAGTATAAGATTTGTAAGCGGAATGTGCGTTATGAACAGAGTTTCACAAAGTAAAAATATATTTTGCAATTTGAGAAAGCAAGATAAGATCTTTAGGTATTAAATTTATTTTCTGATTAAGATATGGACTGCTCACTTATTCATTACAAACTACTGAGAAATCTTCATCTTGATCAATTTAGTTCAAACCTGAACTACTAGGAAGAAAGGAGAAGCAACCCCTAGGACATCCAGTAATTTGTCAAAAGCTTCATGAAACTCTTTCTCTGTCAAATGAAATTTTTGAAAGTCAGTCTGTAGATCAACCCACACAAAACTCTTTAATATGAACATGTATTTTTAATTCATCACGGAAAAGTGACCAACCAGTGTAGTCAAATCCATATCCAGCCTGTGGCTTGTCACTAAACCCAAATCCTATCCAATCAGGTGCAAAACAGTGGAACCCAGCATCTGCCATCTATGAGAAATAAAAGAAAGCATAAGAAACGGTGATTAAAAAATTCACTAAACAATATCACAGTTGGTTGAGCTTGAACCAGCCATAGTACGACTTGGATCTGATAAGAACGTATAAATATCTTTCCCTTCTGTAAATCACCTAGACTATTTTCCTCCATCCTCAACTGTATTTCTATAGATTATAACATGTTAGTTAGTGTATGTATTTTTGGTTCTTTTAAGGAAATTCATCTATTCATTTTGCATATTTAAATTGTACAGCTAATCATGTACAAAACTGATGAGCTTTACAAAGATTAGAAGAGAAAAAGAAGAGAATAAAAATGAAATATGAAAAAAGATAAAAAGACCATGTTGGATCGATCCAAAGTTCATAGCTAAAAATGAAGAGACCTGAGACATAACAACTCGATAACTGTAGGACTGCGTTGGAGCACCATGGAGAAAGATAATAGTTCCACGTCGGCTCTCAGTCGATCCTGCAAAGGAAAGATTAATTCTATACATTTTTTTCAGAAAAAAATGAAAGTTAAAACACAAAAATATTCAAAAGTTTACCTGTTTCTCTTACAAACCATCTAAACCCTCCAGCTTTAATGTAAGAGCCATATTCTTTTCCCTTGTCTTCTATTCTCTAAAATATAATTCAGGGACAATGATATAGAAAACTTAATCTTCACAGCATATCGAACCTTGGGGGTTGGGTGGGGGGTGTGGGAGCAACGAATAAGAAGCAAGTTAATGACTGACTCTTTAACAAATGATATTGGAATGAGTCCGCTCTTATCTATTTGTTTACAATCTGGAATTCAGTTGCACATAACTTGATCTGGTAAAAACTTACTTCTAAACTTAAGTTTCAACAATAACAACAAATTTGTTCATATTGTTGAATCAACTTCAAGTTTGCAATTTTGAAGAATGTCTCTAGCAATACAGATGGTACGACACCACTGAAATTCTATAAACATTACCTAATCAAGTGAATGCATAAACATTAGAGTTTACGGCACTATTATTGTATGAGTCATGAATTTAAAAAAGCATGGTAGAGCACATTCATCAAATTTGACAAAACTCCTATGAAACACAAAACAATTGCAGTAATTATCAAAAACTACAGCCAGTTTACTATTCATAGACTCATGAATTTAAAACGGCATGGCCGAAAGATCATATTCACCAAATTTGACGAAAGTGCTATACATAATAAAAATTGCTGTAATTATTTTTAAATCACATCTAGCGAATCATTCAATGAAATCAATTCGAAAATGAACACAAAAAACAATAGAATCAAGACACAAAAATCCTTGAAACACGTAATTGAAAACTCAACAGTAAGCTTGGGTAATTACATAGAGCATTTGGCCAACATTTCCATCCTCAGCAGGGGACTCAGGAAGCTGAATGGCACTTCGGCTAGATGGATTATCAGTTACAAATCCGAACGGATTGAAAGCCGGCTTATCATCATCTTCTTCGGAAGCCTTCGCAACAATACTGATTGTTGTTCTAAATCTTTTGTTCGTGAGGAATCTAGTGGTGGTGAAGTGTGATGGTGAAGCTGAGAAGAAGTTGGGGAGGATGCGAGGAGCTGGAGTGGGAGGAGAAGTGAGGAGAGAGAGAGGCATTGCGGTGGTTGTAGCGGTGGCGCTGGCGCTGGCGGTTGGGATATGAGTGGAAGGAGTTCGAATTCTAACGAACACCACTAAATCTCTTTTATTGTGTAAATTTCTTCTGCGGTCACTGAACTTTCAGAAAAATTCAATTGGGTAACAAAACTTTAATTCAATTTTAATTGAATCATTAAACTTCAATTTCAATAATTATATGACATGTCAACTTATCACTACGTCTCGTTTTGGAAATTTAATTAATTATGACATTATTGTTGATTAAGTTATTGCCTAATTGGGGACGGTAGGTGATAAATATTGCATGGTTATCAACAAATAACTTGTTCGAAACGAATTTTTTTTTGAAAAAAATGTATAATTGGAAAGTACAGGAAAAATTTGTAAGTCCTATAAAATGTAATGCAAAAATTGATTTCAGAGAAATGTAGAAAAATCAGTTCCAAACATACCTTACGTACCCCTACTTATTGAAAATCACAGAAAACTCGCTGTTTGAGAACTTTTTTTTGCGAAAAATCCCCTACCATTAATATCCCTTAGATTTGCAGTTAAAAACTGTAAAAAAAAAATGCAAAAATTAAAAAGGGAAAAATTGCAGTACCCAAACTTTTATTTTTTTACGAATTACACATAATTTTGTTATTTTTGCTGCCTACCATCCCAAATCTTTCTGCCCCACCCTACTTCGTCTTCTTCTCAAAAATAAAAAATAAAAACCAAAAAACAAAAAAGGTTATCTTTATACGTATGGCAGCTTAATTGGCCAGACAATTAATTGGAAATGTAAAAGAGAAGGTCGAATTTGGTGTCCACCCCCACTTTCTTCCCAACAACAAATTAACCCTCAATTAATATTTTGCAGAGACAAAATCACCAATTCTATTTACAAATGCACAAATCAACAAATGACCTAAAATAATGTCCACTGAAACTACGTTTGCCGGAAAACAGGAAGGCCTATCAACGTCCGAAGTTGACCGACCGTTGCGGGCAGCATCAACCCATCAATCTTCTCAACATTGCCTCTTTTTTTTTATTTGTATGTAATAATTTTTGTTAGCAAGAACAAGAAGAAGATAGCAAATGATTAAGTGGTAATTATATAAAATCAGACATTAAGTTTGATCTTTTTAAAAATAAAGTTTTGGCTTTATTTAATAAAAAATCATGTTTTAATTTTACAATTAATATTAATAATAATATTTTAAATTAAATTAATCTATATACCCACTCTACTACCTACCTCTACCAAATTTATTTTAACTATAAAATCGTATCCAAACCCTAATCCATTTCATTTCATTTCTCTCCCCTCTCTCACTCGGCGCCTCACCGCCAGTCCCCTCTTCCCTTCCTCTTCCCCTGCTGCGAATCGCAGCAGAGCAGCATTGCTGCGACGTTGATGTGCTGCCGATTCACAGCAGCGTCGAAATGATGTTGCTGCCGCTCAGCAGCGTCGCTGCTCGTCACAGCGACGCCAGCAATGCTGCTGACAGTCACTGAGGCAGTCCAAGGTCTGGCCTTCGATCGAGCGCTACTAGAGTAGAATCATCTGGATAAGATCTTTGCCTTCGTTCTCTTAACAATTCATAACAAACATCATATTGTTGTGATTTTGGCAGATCTTGGATTTTTGATTTGTTATGATTTTGAGTTTTTCTTCATTCTCAAATCTTGTTATTAGTGATTTGCACATTGTGATGATTTTTTGAAAATGAAAATGTTGAGGTGGTGGTCGGGCTGGTGGTGGTTGTGGCGTGGTATAGATAGAAATGGAGATGGTTGTCGAGGTGTTGGAGGTTGTGTGGTTGTCGCGGTGGTGGTCCAGCGATTTTTTGGTTTAGATTTTGCGGTGGTTTCTCGGTTATGGTGTGGCGGATCTGTGGACTGTGTGTGTGGCTGTGGCGGCTGGATCTCTGTGTGTGGCTATTGTTGGCTGTTGAAAGTGTTATTGTTGGTCGGTGGTCGGGGCGATGGAGGTCGCGACGGCGTCAGGCAGATGGGACGAAGAGTTTCTGTGGCCAATTATTTAGTTGATGTGTGACCAAGTAGTTGGTGGTATTTTGGGATTGGGGGACGGGGTGTTTGGGTGTATGTGACCAAGTATATCGATCTGTGACCAAGTTTTTGTGGTGTAATGAGATTGGAGGACAGGTGTTTGGGTGTATGTAACCAACTATATAGTTTTCTGCGGTTAACTATTTAACTATGACCTTAAAATTTGTTAATATGTGACTAAAAATATAATTTGTGACAAAAAAAATTGGAAATTTGTGACCAACAAATTTTCTTAATTTGTGACCAATTAAAAATCTGTGACCTATAAATTTTTTCAATTGTGACCTTAAAATAATTTGTGACCAATTAATTTGATAAATTGTGACCGAAAATTAAACTTTTAACTATATCTGTGACCTTGGAATCAGAACAGTTATCGAAATTAAGCGGCGGTCAACGGTCACCAAAAAATAGTCGTCGAAATTAAGTGTGGTTGGAGAACAGTCGACGGTCGCCTGTCACTGGAATAGTCGCCGGAGCAGTGGAGGTGGTGGTGGTGGTGGTGGTGGGGTGGAGTGGTTCGGTGGGATGGGTCAATTATATATATATTATATTATATTACAGTTAAATATTTAATTTAATATAATAATTGTGAAATATAATTAATTAATTCAAGAAAAACCTGATTTTTGCAATTTTAAACTTTGTTTCCTGATTTTTTTATTCTGGAATAGATAAAGCCTAAGATTGTAAAATATAATTAATTAGTTCATGGAAAAACTTGAGTTTTTTAAATTTAAACCTTGGGGTCTAATTTTTGATTTCGTGAAAGATATTCCCTGACCTATGAATTTTTCCCAATGATTAAGTCAAGGAAAACCTACTTTCAATTTAAAGGCCCATATATTTGAGAAGGCAAGTTCTATAAATAGGGCTTTGGAAAATGCAATCTTCTTGTTGAAGGAGCCTTTGATGATTCATAAGTGCATGTTCAGTAGAAATTAAAATCCAATTAAATTGAAAATATAATCGTTATTGGGTCCCCGCTCATCTAATAAAAGTCAATAATAATGACTAATTTTTCAATTTTAATCTCTACAAAACACATTCTGAGATTCACTTCTTGCTGGAAGGAAAAGACTGTGTATTACGACGTAAACTTGTGGCCATTAAGCCATATGTATAAAGAGAACATTTTTTTATTTTTTGGGTTTTTATTGTTTTTGATGACAAATATGACTTGATGTTGACGGCCAAAGGGTTTTTCACAGAAAAAGTTTCAAACATGGAGTTTTCTGCGATTTTTAATAAGTATGGAGTATATATAGCAAATAGAAACGTTTCTATGAGGGTTTTATATTATTAATCCTTATTTTTTAATTTTGAGAGACAGCAGGTGATTGATAGACGGAGTGATAAATTTTGAAAGTAAGCTCATGTTTCATTTAGAAATTAATTTTTTAGTAAATTTTGATAAAATTTAATGAAATGTGTGTATGATAGCAACATAGCGAGTAAACGATGGGTGTACCATTCATGTCTCTTACCATGTCAAGTATTTTTGTTACCATGCTCTACTCATATACCTGGTTAAAGCGTACCTGGTTAAAGCGGGGCTGGGACAAGGCATGAGATGCATTTTTTTTGTTTTTTCTTTATTTTATTTTCTACTTTTATTTTCTTGTATCTTTAGTTAGTGAATATTATTACTTTTTTTTTTCTAATTTGTGAAGAATAATTCATGTTCTTTTTAAAAATGATGAAAAAATTTTTTTAATTATTTTTTTGTTTATAAAAAAACTTAAATTTGAAATTAACTTTATATAGGACGAGTAGAGGAGCGGGTAGCATGTTTTTCGTACATGTCCTGTACATACTTTGAGACAATGATCCCCGCCTCTCCCTGTCCCATTTATTCGATTAGGCAGATAATCCCCATCCTATAAGGAGTAGAGCTTTGTAGGTATTGAATTTGACGAGTTTTTTGTTATTCTAAATGCGTGATTGAATAGTTGTAGATTTCATAAAATTTGTTGTTGATTTTAATTTGAATTTCCAATCAAATTTTTGGCTGAATCAAATAGGGACTAAATGAAAATATGATTTTTTATTTTTTGTGCTCAGTAAAGACGTAGAAGAAGGAAAAAGAGGGAGAAAGGGCAAAAGAAAAAGAAATGACTATATATGCGTAACTTGATAGCGCCAACTTCGTTGATCGTATTAATTGACTAGACCTTTTTCTTTTTCCTTTTTTTTTTAATGAGGACATATTTTATGTTAAGGACATATTGAGATAGCGCCAACTACGTTGATCGTATTAATTGAGTTGACCTTTTTCTTTTCTTTTTTTCTTTTTTTTTTTTAAATGAGGACATACTTTATGTTGAGGACATATTGAGATTTTATCATCTGTGTACTTACTAAAATGGGAAAGAGACTTTTGACCCAAAAAAAGTATTGATTGTCATAATTTTCATTTCACACTTGTAAAGAAAGATTGCAAAAATAATAATAATAATAATAATAATAATAATAATAATAATAATAATAATAATAATAATAATAAATTAAAATTTGGTCTCTTTTTAGCTAATGTAACCCTTGTTTGGGCTCATTTTAATGAAAATTTGAGAAAAAAATGTATTTTAAAATATTATTTTTTTAGAGGACGAATTTGAAAGTAGATTTTTTTTTTTTTTTGATATTTAGATGACAGATGCAAGTTGAGCCCAAACTACAAGCTAAATTGGTGTTGAACACCATTACTCATGTTCATTATTCATGTTCTTCATCTTTGAGTCATTCAATCCAATCAAAGTAATAAAAAAAAAATTCAAAAGTCATTTGTGTGCTATTAGTACCCATATCAATTCTTTTCGATTTTTTGGGCCTTGTGCTGAATTCTCACGTACTTAAAAAAAGTTTGAATTCCTAATTTCTTAAATCATTTTAGATCAATTTTCTTACTCAATTCTTTGTTTGAACTCCACGAAGGT